GTTACGCTCTGCCAGAAGACGAAACCAGCGACCCCAACAAGCGTGTTCGGTCGATTCTCAGCCAGCGCGCCCACACCTGGACGCACTGCGAAATCCACCCTAGTATGATCTTGGGTGTTTGCGCCAGTATTATTCCTTTCCCGGATCACAACCAGTCGCCGCGTAACACCTATCAGTCTGCCATGGGCAAACAAGCCATGGGTGTTTTCTTGACGAACTTCTCGCAGCGTATGGAGACTATGGCTAACATTCTCTACTACCCACAAAAGCCTTTGGCTACCACTCGTTCCATGGAGTTCCTGCGTTTCCGAGAGTTGCCCGCCGGTCAGAATGCTATTGTCGCTATTGCAACTTACTCTGGTTACAACCAGGAAGATTCCGTTATCATGAACCAGAGCAGTATCGATCGTGGTCTGTTCCGCAGTCTCTTCTACCGTACCTACGCGGATACTGAGAAGATGGTGGGACTGCAAGTTGTTGAGAGATTCGAGAAGCCTATGCGCATTGACACCCTTGGCATGCGCAAGGGTACTTACGATAAGTTGGACGAGGACGGCATCGTTGCTCCCGGTGTGCGTGTCTCTGGAGAAGATATCATTATCGGCAAGACCGCTCCCCTAGCTGCGGATGCGGAGGAGCTCGGTCAGCGTACCAAGGCACACACAAAGATTGATGTGTCTACGCCACTGCGCAGTACTGAGAATGGTATCGTTGATCAGGTTCTAGTCTCCACTGGAAACGACGACCTGAAGTTCGTCAAGGTTCGCATGCGTACCACCAAGATCCCCCAGATTGGTGACAAGTTTGCCTCTCGTCACGGTCAGAAGGGTACCATTGGTATCACCTACCGACAGGAGGACATGCCTTTTACTCGGGAAGGTGTCGTTCCCGATCTGATTATTAACCCACACGCTATTCCGTCCCGTATGACCATTGCCCATTTGATCGAATGTCAGCTCAGCAAGGTTTCCGCTCTTCGTGGATTCGAGGGTGATGCTACTCCTTTCACTGATGTCACTGTCGATTCGGTCTCCCGTCTGCTGCGTGAGCATGGCTACCAGTCGCGTGGCTTCGAGGTCATGTTCAACGGTCACACTGGTCGCAAGATGGTGGCGCAGGTGTTCTTGGGTCCCACCTACTACCAGCGTCTGCGCCACATGGTGGACGACAAGATCCACGCTCGTGCTCGTGGTCCTACTCAGATTCTGACCCGTCAGCCCGTGGAGGGTCGTGCCCGTGACGGTGGTCTCCGTTTCGGAGAGATGGAACGTGATTGTATGATCGCCCACGGCGCCAGTGCTTTCCTGAAGGAGCGTCTCTTTGACGTTTCTGATCCGTTCCGTGTTCATATTTGCGACGATTGCGGCCTGATGACACCAGTTGCGTAAGTTTTCCAATCCCTAATTTATATCTTTTCCTCGTTGCAAAGAAAGCTAACCGTCTTTATAGGAAACTGAAGAAGGGTCTTTTCGAGTGCCGTCTTTGCAACAACAAGCACCGTATCTCGCAAGTCCACATCCCCTACGCTGCCAAGCTGTTGTTCCAAGAGCTGGCCTCCATGAACATTGCCGCTCGGATGTTCACCGATCGCTCTGGGGTTTCGGTGCGTTGATTTACGGTTCTTGCTATCTTCACATTTGTACTTTAATGATCTTGCTGGAAAAATGCGCATCTGCTTGGCCTGTTTCGTGGCGTCTCGGAGGATCGTTGGCCATCGCATTACAATAACCGGCCCTACATACTTGAATTGAAACACTTTATGTGTGGTTTTTTTTCCACCGGTCCTAGATTTGTAATTCGAGTTGGTGCTTAACATACTCAGCACTGTACTGCATGACTAACCTTGACCCAATGTCTCCTGTCGCTAAACGCATTCGAATCAAACCGGATATAAATAGATCTCCGACTCTCGGATAACCATCCCACGGATCTAAAAATATAAAAGAGATCCACTGCACTCAAATACCCTGCTAATAGAGTCTAACCGTTATTGGGGCCCCTTGCATGAGGTGGAGTTTATAGAAGGTTTTATTTAGTCTTTACAACTCATTACAAATAATCTTCAATCTACATGAACATGGACGCAGGTCATATCTCATTATTCATTGGTATCTCAGAGTAAGACCTAAACCAAAGCATGAACAAGTTCATGACATCGGGGCGATGTTCTTTGGTTGACGAGATACCGTTTTTCATCTGGGTCTGGCCTCCTTTGAAAACAGGAGGCTCAGGACAGACCTTGTCGTCTCATGGCTTGTGCTGGTCAAATCAGAACCTTGACTGGCTCAAGATAAGCTTGTCGGAGTCCACGATGCTGGATTGAATGGTCCAGGGTGGAGATTGTCCATATCGAAATATTTCGATGGCTTCTTCTTCTTCTTCTTCTTCTTCTTCTTCTTCTTCAATCTTCTTCCCCATTCACTATTCCACTCATTCCTCCTCTCCTCCTCTCACCCACAATCATCATCCCCGCCCAACCGCAGCGAGAAACCAGTCCACCCGCGGCCCGGGCTGTTTTTGGTAATTTTATCGTTTTTAAAATCAAAACAAACGCAATGACCAAGTCTCACTAGACCAGAACAAGTCAAGCGAAAGAACAAATGGAGCAAATAACCTAGCAAGGTCCAAGACCTGCCACCAGATATAAACCATCTACCGACGAACAACGATACCCTGACGACGAACAGCGTTGCGAGCACGGCAGTACTCCTCATCACTCTCGTACTCAGACTCGGAGCAGCTATCATCAGAAGACTCAACGTATCCACAGCGGGCACCACCACAGTCAAGCTTGACACGGTCACCCTTGCGGGTGATACCGTAGCGTTCGCAGCGGCAGTGCACGGGGGGCTCACTCATAGACGAGAGCGAGGAAGGCGAAGTCGAGCCCGAGGACGACCGCGACGAAAGAGATGACCCCGCAGAGCTGGGCGGGCTGTTGGAGTACGAGTACTCGTCTGACATACGGGAGCCGGCAAAGCGGCGGGTGAGGTCGTCGACGGTTGGGGCGAAGTCTGCTTCGCGGAGTTGGCGGGAGGCGTAGTGCTTTGTTGGCTTTGGGTGCTGGATGCGCGAGGGGGACAGGGCGCGGCCGGTAGCGATGTTACCGCGGCTGGCCTTGGGTGCGGAGTATCGGCTGGTTGGCTTGCCACCGGGAACATCGAGGATGTTGAGCTTGCGGCCGGTGGTGGGTTCGACGGTGTATTCGACGGCTGGGTCGTGCGACACGTGGTACCCGTCCATCATGTAGTAGTACCAGTAGCGGCCTCCGAGTTGGAGCATTGAGGTCTGGAAGCGGAACTTGCCAACCCAGGCGCCGGGCTTGTCTTCGCTGGAGAGGGGGATCTGGCGTTGGTAGTTGTCCCATGAACCGACGAGGTGGACGGTCTTGACATTGGACGAGGTCCGGAGGGAGAACTTGAGTTGAACGGCGGCCATGATGAATCAAATGTATCAAAAAAATTGGAATTTAAAAAAGTTGTCGTAGGAGCAAAAGATCAAAAGTTTCGTATAGAGAACAACCTAAAACTACCGGAGTTTGATTGTCAAAGTTGATTGAAATGTTGATCTTTGGGGAACCGGTCCGACAAAGAAAGAAGAATAATCGAGCGAGATTATATTAAAGTTGAGTTTGTTGTAAATATCTGTTGAACAGCGAAATCAAGTCGACCGGCGACAAGTAAACTGTTAATAGTTGTAAGATTCGAGGAAATCCGTAGCAAGGCAGAATCTCAAAGAGCACAGCTCGTTTGAGAGTAAAAATGGTGCAAAAAATTAGAATAGTATAGAAGATAAAGAAAGAAAAAAAAGGTCCAGGCAACCAGTGCTCAGGATCACTCGAAATAGGGCAGATAAACACAACAAACGCTCGCTGAAGAAAAAAAAAAGAGAAGAAATCCGCCTTGAGGTGGCTATGGCATTCTTTTAAGCAGGTCGATTCGATCAGCAGTGCAGAATTCACCGCACTGGATTTGGGCGGGTAATTGACGATGTTGGTTGGTTCGATGCATGTTGCACTGTGATGTGCTGCCCTCATGGCTGACCAATGACTGTCCGGGATTTGGCGCTCACGCTCGGACCAGAAGAGGAGAGAGTTTTCTGTACGAGAGGCCATTGTCCAAGCATATTCAGGGATTTGAAGTCTGAAGAAGTTGTCAGCCTCATAGATTAATTGTGGAGGGGTGGGGGGTATGTGTTGTCATGTCTAGACTGTTAAGAGCCTCGGGAGGTTTGGGGTCAGACCGTCTCAACTCCCCCCACCTTGCTGAGGTATGTGGGACCGTGTAAAGTGTCTCATGTCAATACAGAGAACTGGCAGTATCAAAGACATGATTTCAAAGGATCCTGGTGTGTCTTAATGTACTCCCCGAGATTAAAATATCCAGAGTCAGGAGACGTCACCAGTCCTTCCTAATTGAAAATTCGCCGAGACTAAGACGCGGGATGAGATGCATTAGACCTATTCAATCAGAAGCCGCAGGCTGACAGGGATATTGACAGGGATGTTGACAGGATACGTACCGGGATGTTGAACAGGGGTGTTGAAGGTGTACTGTCGTGCCATGTGGATGAAGTGCCGACCTCTCTTTCCGCCTTTCCGGCAATTCACGCTCTCACTGATTTGCCTCGTCTGCCTTTTATCTTCTTAGGATTCCCCTTTTCTGAGAACAAAAAGAAAAAAAAAAGGAATACTTCAACATGAGACTTGCGACCGGTAGGTGGATTTCATTTGTCCCCCTGATTGGATGAATGACTGAATCCTTCCCACAACGGTCGAGGTGGATAAAACATATTAACAAGGGGGGCAACTGTGAAGCCGTTGGTCAATCCATCTAATAGTTGAAGCACTAAAGCTGGAAGGAGTCATGGATACGTCTTGATCCCTGATGGGTTCTTTTGTCTAATGTCCCTTTTGTCGAACAACTTGTGTTAAATAATGGGTTTCTTGGTTTTTCTTTCTCTTCGAAATTGCAGTTTCTTTTCTTTGAGCATTTCTAACCATGGACCTATCAATTGAGATTGTAAGTAAAGACTAATAATCTAGTCGACGGGGATCTGATATCGGGTATAGGATCCAACTTACCATGACCATACACGCGACGGCTATGTAGATAGTGACTTTGCTTCGTGGGTTCATACACTAGGTTGCTCTCAATCACTCTAACCTAGCCTCCAGTGAAACAACATCTCTAGCCTCTGCTGTCTACCGGGGAGTATTCGAGAATGGAAGACGGTATGCATATGTCTCAAATCTACCGAGATCGGATATTGACAACTCATTAGCTATCAGACCGTGAGGGAGGGTGCGTCTTGGTACATATTCCAACATCAACTCGATTATACCCTTCTAATCTGCCTCCAGGTTTCCATCCGACGAGCAACAATTTGAGAGTTTAGAGGCAGGGTGAGTTTGATACCACTGCATCACTACTTACACAAGCTAACTCGACCAGTCACCTCCTCTGTATACTTCTAGACGCCAATACCGACAACCCACTCTTCCAAGCACCACTAAAAGACCCCAAGGTATATACCCCAAAAATAAATCATAAAAGCCCCCACTGACCGAATACAAGCAAATCCTGGACATCGGCACAGGCCGAGGCAACTGGGCCATGTAAGAGCACACCTGCCCTTAGCCAAGAACACCAATTGACAAAATACAGTGATGTAGCCGACATGTTCCCTGATGGTAAGCGCACATACATACATACATATATACCCACATCCCCATACTCCCAGACAGCGAGCTAACAGCGCAAAGCAACCGTCAGAGGCGTAGACCTCTTCCCCCCACCAGTAGATTGGATACCCCCAAACTGCATAATGGAAGTCGATGACGTCCTACAAGAATGGACCTGGCGCCAGCCCTTCGACCTCATCCACATGCGCCAGCTAATCGGCGCCTTCACTCCTTTTGAATGGGATTGTGTATTCGCCCAGTGTTACAAGTAAGTCTGCTAACTCTCCCCGCCTCAATAGCAACAAGCCCAATACCCTCCCCTCTTTATAAAAACCAAGCTAACACTAAAGTAACAGAAACCTAGCCCCAGGCGGCTGGATCGAACAAATAGAAGGCGACCCACGAATCCACTGCTCAGACTCCAGCATGTCCCCAGACTCTAGAATTGTCCAGTTTACGGAAGCAGTGTTCCGCGCTGCACAGGAATGGAACCACCCCATCGATACGCTAGACACAATGCGCGCAGCAATGGAAAGGGCCGGCTTTGTCGATATCCATGAGAAGAACTATAGGTGGCCTGTTGGGCCGTGGGCCCGGGACCCTACACTCAAGGAAGTGGGGAGATTGCATTATCATCAGTGGACGGCGGGTATGGAGGGTTGGGGGATGTATTTTCTCACTAAGTTTGGGGCTCCGAAGCCGTGGGCGAAGGAGGAGGTGTTGGTTTTGTTGGCGAGGGTTAGGAAAGAGTTGCAGGATCCGCAGATTCACATGTGGCAGTATGCGTGAGTTTTATATTTATGTTGATTTGATTATTTGAGAGAGTGGTTGAGCTAACGTTGAGTAGGAGGAGAGTTTGGGGAAGGAAGCCTACGGTGGAGGAGGATGAGGAGAAGGAGGTGAAGGTAAAGGTGAAGAGTGAGGAGGTTGATGTTAAGGACTCCGGAATATGATCTGAGTTATGTTTCTTTACTTGATGTGATCATTTTGAAGTATCTAAGGTAGTGTTCGCCCAATTCCATTTAAAAACCTACTTGAGACGAGCGGCCATTCATGTCCTAGCCATATGCTCGTGTCCCTTTGTCCTCAAATTGCGATGTGGGAAAAGAACCAAAGTAAACAGACCCAACTAAACGGGGAATCGGAATTTGAGGGCGTCGTTCAGCTTGCATAAAAGACCCGAAGCCCCGCTCATATTACGTCTCGGGCAGAGATATGATGTTGTTGAGAACAGCTTGTCGAGCAGACTGATGCGCATTTCTCACAGCAAAACTTATAACGTGAGACATTCTCCCACATTGGACCAAAACGTGTTTAATTCGGAATGTAAGGCGAGAACGGCTTTGTGCGGATACTAATGATTTATAACATGGCGAGTTCTGGATTCGAACCGAGAATGCCGACTAGTTCTGTCAGCATTTCCCCGGAATAGAATAGTAGTAGGGGAAAATGGAGACAAAAAGAAAGCAAAAACAAGAAGCTTACCAGACTTGCCAGCAGGTCTAGTCGGGACCCAGTGCAAAAAGTGAGAGAAGATTCTCATCACGTTTTCAACTACCCGATCACGGGGAACATGCAATCAGGGCTAAATGTAGGTAGCGTGCATCGGATAAAGCAGTGGCTTACGCAGAGGCAGTCAAGAGCGGCGCAAACCGGTCGTTGGCTCCATCCTTTCTCTGCTGGCGCATGACAGCGTCCAACTCAAGTCCCAGCCCCCAGACAAGAGCTGCATAGAAGGCTGCGGCTTGCATGGTCGAAGGTAGCGGTTTCTGCAAGACGGAGGGCGAATAGAAGAGATCCCCCACGAGATCAGCACTCAAATATCCGAAACACTGGTCATGACAGTCCAGAAGAATCTCGCGGCAACTTTACTCAATCTAGAAGAGCATATAGAGCCCTACTAGAACTTTGCGTCGATGGTCAAGTAGCGGGTTACCGAGAAGCACCTTCTGGACGTCCATTAATACCACTGCGGGTGAGCTCTGAGATCCGTGAGCTCGGCCTTCAGTCGGATGTACCATCTGTTAACGGTGCCGTTTCTTACCTATTGACTAACCAAAAGAAGCCCAATAGTCCTGAAAGGCAATCGCATTAGTCTCGTGCCAAAAATGAGATATATAAGGGGTGAGGGTCAGTGATAACTGACCAGAACTCCCAAGGTTGGAATTGCTGTGCGGCACTTGATCTCCTAGATCACAAGTTGCTCGCTCCGATGGCGGACTGGTGAGTTTGCTACATACAAAAGTGGTATAGGAGGCTTTTGGTATCTGATGGAAAAAAAAGGCAAGAGAAAGCCTCACTTATAGTGAGAAACATCTAGGCATATAGGGAGAGTAGAGATGACATGTGCTGCTGGCATGTCAACTTCTGCAGGAACAGCGATACGAGATGATGAACGAATTATTCGAGGCAGGGTTGTCGATGACGCTCGGGGAGGAGGAGATGTTAAAGTAATCAAAGGCGGCGCCGGTCGTGGCAAATTTCATGATCGCAACGGGACTCCTATGATAGTTTCAGTCAGTGGAGTCGGTCGCCATGGGTAGGGAGTAGGGGGTAGGGGATAATGATCAACAAGACCCGACAAAATCAAACCAATAAATTGCGAGTGCTGAAGAAACAGGAAGCGCAACTCAGTGGCCAGGCACCAGGTCTGCCGAGGTCACCTCACATCAACACACACCTCGATCAGCCAATGCTGACGACGAGGACGACGAAGCATGGTGTCGCGACCCAAACCTGTTCGTGACGAGCTGCCGGCATAATGTAAGATGCAGGATGCAGGATGCAGATGTAGCGGTCGTGGTGAAGCAAGGGCTCAATGACTCGGAGATGGTAATGTGAAGCGGAAAGGGGGGGATAAATGGTGAAGCGAAATGATTATTGCAAAGAGAAGGGGGCACTCTGCGCTGACGGGGAACACGGGATTGACCAGATACGGATGGATTGACTTTCTTTATATTTTAGTGGGGGATATGATCCTCCCTTATGCATATACCTGACCTGTCCTTTGTTTATTTCATAGAATTGTTACATGAGTATTGCTGTACAGAGGTTATATCACTATTTCGTAGCACTATTTCAATCACCGATGCTATAGGGGAATCATTATAATAGGGAACCAGGCAAGATAGGTAGGATATTCTTCCTAGTGATCGAAGCTAGCTACATGGGCCCTAGCTGACAGTGGTCGCCCGTCATCAAAAGAGGATTTGAGTGGTAGTGGGCAAAAGTTGGCCACATTTCAGGCTCTGTAAATTTTGCAGCTTCATCCACCCCCACCACAGCTGGCATGAGGCCTCGACGACCGAGCTTTTTCCGGTGTGGGTGGAATCTCCCTCTGTCAACTCGACTACCACTCCCTATCAATTTTTATCGTCAAGGAGTGTGCGAATGTTGGTCCTTGAGCTGTTGCGATAGCTTGGGGGTTGCATAAATTCACACACAACTAGCCCAGTGGCTGTGATTGGGACTTTTCCCTTGCCAAACGCGCGTAACCACGCATATCCCAGTGTGGTCCATCTTGCGCACCAATTGGGTGCAATATAGCAGGCCGTTTCTGGCATATTATGTCATTTTGTAGTACAGGGAATGTATTAAAACCGCGAAGGCTCCGGGGCAAGGCTCTGTGATCTGCTATCACATTGATGTGCGGGTTTCCTCATCTTAGAATGTGGCATTTTGGTACAATGCGAGAGGATTGGCAGGGTTGTTGGAAGAAACGTGTCACGGGTGAGTTTCTAACACATCGAGAACACCCCGGGGCCTTTTGTCGGTGACTCAATGTTGAGCTTTGTGACCTGTGGTCGGACTTTTGTATGCTCTTCACCATCTTGGCAGATGGCATAATGATGCAAGTAAGGTTCATTGATATGAACGGGGTGCAAAATCACTTGAGCATACGTTTGTGGGGAAGGGAAAGGGGAAGGAGAAGGGATGGGTGGTAGTGGAAGGCCCTGGGGCCTTTGCTGGTTGTGTAGTTAGCCTTCCCGAACACAGCCGGGATGTTGAGAAAGGCCATTTGATAACGAGTTTGATCATTTGGCTAAGTCATCTAGTATTTTAGATATCTATCCACGATGATCGTCAAGTGATATATGACAGAAAAGTAAAGTCAAAGTCGGAGAGGAGATGGAAGAAAATGCAATATAACCAAGTAGCATACTCTTTCTTATGGGAAGACCAAGATTTCCGATCGGCTCCCAGTCCAGGCTATATAGTGGCGTATTTATCGAGGTGTTATTGAGAGAACTAGGATTTGGAACCAAGTTAGCTGTGTATTGCAGGGCATGAGGTAGTATTGCCAAACCGTCTGTCTCGGATAGCTCGATTTAACAGGCAATCCATCCACGGAGATACACATGTGGAGAGCCTGACCTATGAAAGGCAGACGAAAGTCGACAGATATAGCGTAAGGATTTGACCATCAGGGGATGGAAAAAGCAAGAAGTGAAGCGAACTGAGTGAAGTGGAAGAAGGCTTAATATATAGGAAGGCTGGTGCCTTAGGTGCTAAGGCCCCCGGTTACCCTCAAACAATAAGTTCCTACCTAGATATGTCTGGATAATGTACTTTAATTGGATTTAAGTAACGCTGTATTAAAAAAAGACCACAAAGAAACTACCCGGCTTCAATGGCGACGGACACTGTTCCCAAAATTCCCAAAGAAACCAGTAGAACTTGTTGAATACAAAGAGAGAAAATTTAGGTAAAGGAAACACAATCTGTACAGACATTTTACACAATATGAAGCGACACCAAAAGGCTATACGCTCGAACAATATACGCTCCTAGAATCAAACATCGACTGTGTATCCCAGATGCAGAAATAGCCGATCTTCCTCCCAGTAGTTGGCTTCATTCAAAGTCCACGTGTTGATTTTTCAAGAGAAACGGACTTTTGTTAACTTCGTGCCCTAGATCCAGAACTTCGGCTTGTATCCGGTAACGTCTTTCGGCACACGTAAACTCCGAATTGAATTTGATATATATTATGTATGACAGGTTGTTTCTGGTAATGGACTCCTTGCTAGCTAACATGTCTTTTGAAAGGAGGAGGCTATCTAGGAATCTGAAATGCGCAACTAATACCATGTACTATTCGGTGGTTTAACATTATCAATCTACCTGATAATTCATAAAGAGCAGCTTTAGGTGAACTAATTTGACTTTAGTTTTTGCATAAACTCCCCAAAGAAAAACATTTGCCTACCCGTATCCAATCGCAAAGTCCCAGTCTCAGTGGTATATCAGTCTACTGTATTATACAGACATGGATGTATGCTAAATTCAATGTCCAAAAGCAGACAGAATTGGGTTACATTCAGCACTTGATTATGAGCATATCCCTATCTCGTTCTATCCCCAGGAGAGTAATTCAGCAACCTATACGGATAAACGGAGGAAGAGAAAATCCTGGAGATCAAAGTTCATCAGACAGATTACAATGTTGACCTTTGACCAGCTGACGTATTCCTGCATCAAAAGGTATAAAGAGAGCGTAAGTCAGCTCCCCACACTCTTGTTTGCCCAAGTAATTCTTTTGTAAACAAAATCAACTTGTTCTACAGAATGAAAGCCGCGATATTCTTCCTTGCTCTTGTAAATGGAGCCGCGGTGCTGGCAACCCCGGCCATTGAATTAAATAACAAAGCTCCTCCCTCTGCAAGTGGATGCTATCCATTGTGGGTTGACACATACAGACCACCTCAAACAATGGATTGACAGCCCTATAGTGCAGACCCTCACTGCGGTGTTGCTGACACCTTCTGTCAGTGTGAAGATGGTAAGAGCTATACAACTCTTGTGTACATTTACTGATTTGAACGAAACGTACTCATATGAGTGGTAGGTCGCTTTTATCTCTTCAACCGTGCTAACGGCAACTGTGACCCCCCGTGGCGCTATGTTGGTGACTCAGTGACATCACTTCCGGGATATCATTGCAGGAAATAAACGGCAATGTCAAGTTACAAAGATCCATCAATCTTGAAGTGACAATTTATTAATAATATGACAGGAAGTATCACTATGCTACTATTGAATGGGGTCACGTTATGTAGTAGATGTAGTTACTGTATCCTATCCTATGAAGTAGTCTGAATATCTCGAAGAATGATTTCTTGAGTTTACATCATGCCTTGGTTCAGAATGGACCGTGAAGTAAATTGTGCCATTGATCGCATCCATTGTTGCACCCTATAGATGATTTCCATTAATGCTTGTTATCATTACAGAATATCGATTGCCTCTTGATAGACTCAGCCATGCAACTCATCATTTAGTTAAGTAGACTACTCACTGAGTACACATATCGAGAAGAAAGCTTTGACAACATTAATGGGGAGATGCTATTAGCATAATTGTTGATCTGTTTAGGGATTTATAGAAGCGACAAATCAGCTAGACTTCACTTTAGAAGCCAACTTCCTGTACACTGAAGCAGTTCCATAGACTAAAGAGACTTGTATAGAATAAAAATTGCGAAGATACACAGGGCATAGTCCGAACCATTTCTTGATACTGATGGGCGGGATATTGCAGAAAGAATGGAATGTTCCAGAAATTATTTAAGAAGTTGAACTAGAAGTAATATCCATCAAACATAGCTCGGAATGCTGCCTTATTCACTGTACACATTCATCATCTTTCTTAATACTGTACTCTATCACTTCCTGTTCACTGTAGATTTTTAAGGTTGCCAAGACCCTTGAGCCGCACCTCGCGACTCCACCAGGGCCCCCAAAGCTCTCTCTCCACACTTTATCATCAACCCTCATCTTTTTATCCTTTCCAAATTCCTCATCAGTTTGGGCAGATCTTTTTATCCCATATTTTCTCAAGTGGGCTGAATAGCACCACCACGTCGCGGATTTCTACGACCCCTTGGCGTTCACCTCCATTGCCCACTGATAACTTCAAACCATTACCATGCCTGAGGCGTCCACTGGACCCAGGTCCGAATTTCCGCCTCTCGTGATACGTGGCAAGCATCCCCAGGAAAATTGCGAGCTTCAACCTGTCGCCATATTTTATTCTCCCACCGTGACTAGTCTCGATCTTGAAGCCAAAGCCAACTCCCACTCATCCTCTGATGAGGTCCCTGACTCTGGTAGCGCTTTCGCATCCGATAATTCCTCTCCTGATAGCTCCGACTCATCATCTGATGACGAATCTGACACCTTCTCCTCAAATGGCTCCAACTCGTCTTCGCCTAATAGCTCATCTCCTGACAGCCTCCACACGACCTTTCCCGATAGCAACATCTTGAAACCAAGCGATTTGTTTGACGATGGCTTCGAGGAAAATGTGGAATCCCAACTAAGAGCCGCTTGGGATACATCTTCTCAGTCCGATTCCGATGCTGAAACCGTTATTTTGTGCAACCCTACTGCTAGGAGTGACTCGGACACAGTCTCTACTAAGAACTTTGACCCTGAAGAGTCCGGGACTGTATCTGGCGATTTCATCCAAGGGGATCCTCGTGCTGAAAAGAGCGACACGTCGGATTCTGCCAGTGACAATGGCTCTGACTCGTCCTCTCAGGAGTTCTCCGACACCTTTTCCCCAACCGGCCCCCGCTCTCACTCGCCTGCTAGCTCTACATCATCCCAAGACTCCCTCGACATCGATGATGATGAGCCAAACCTCTCCGAAGGCTCCCACTACATCTGTGCATACGCTTCCCCCGTTCATGATGGCCATCGCATCAGGACCAGCTGCGATAGAAATGATGATACTGGTATCTGGCACGTTGAACCGGACGGGTTTATCAACGAAGCCAAACGGGCTGGAGGGCCGTACCTTTGCTCTTTCCCAGTCAAAATGCAAAAATTGAAGCCTGGGGACCCTCTGAGCGACGTCCTCGAGGACTTTGTCCTCATTCAAAAAATATTGGCAAGTCTTGATGAACACAATGTTCACCCAATCTCAATGAAACTTAGGGAATGCGAGCATGAAAAAGACCTTTTCAATTGGACGCCTACTTTGATCTTCTCTGCCATTCGTAACACCTTCGATGACTCTTGGATCTTGGCATGTCGCCAGATCTGGAAACACTTTTCGGATGCAGGTCTGGGACAAGTCAATATCGAAATATCAGACCCGGAGATGTACACACGCTCCTTGTGGCCAATTCAGAAATCCGATCCGGTCTGGTCAGTCCACGAGGAATTACAGCGCAGAATGATGGCTGAGATTGATCTTACGGATATGTGCGCAATTATGACGATACATGTGGGAATGACCCAGGACAGAGAGAAAATGCCGCTGGCTGTGTTTATGGTCGTACGCTATCAGAGCACTCGGGACTGGCGCGATACGAGGGATCTGCTTGTGGGCATTCTAGATGACCTAAATCTTCCTATGGTGGGGGTCGTCATCACGAAGGGCGAAACCTTGAGAGGGTGAGCTTAGCCGAGAAAAGGCAGGACATGGTCTACCGGGACAAGCAAGTCACTGGCCAGAAAATATTTTCTGCGCTACGGAGGAAGGAATCATCAGATTAGCGTTATTTTACTCACCATTCATTTGAGATTAAATAAAATGCCTTGATTACAATCTTATAACCTTTCGGTAGGTAACCTATTGCCGAGATAAACTCTTTCTCAATAAATGAAAAGATAGATAGACTTGGCCAATTCATCCCTACAGGGCTAATTATAAACAAAAAGGACTCTTATACGATTTACGCCTTTCAATGCCTTGGTATATCATACATATCAGAGCCTACTAGTACTGTGCGCTATTATCCAATATCCGTGTAGTTATAACATCCAGAAGAAAAATGATATCTAAAAATACACCCAGCAACAAGACCCAAAAATGAAAATCTAAGTGCGTTATCTTAATATAACTTCTGTTACATCATCTTGAACCAGATTGGTTTATAAAAGCAATACCCCTTTTAGGACAGAGGCCGCATACACGGCGTACTACTATTGCTGAAATAAATGCTTAGCTCAATAAATGCAAAGATGGATAGACATTGCCAGTTCACTTATGTGGTCCAACTAGATTATGAGGTAGCAAGTAGGGTAGATTTAAACCACTGAACTCAAGAGGCAAAAGAAAAAGGTAAAAGAATATGGTGAGCCCACAAACCACTTGATGAGGATGCACGGGAGAGAAGATGTCGACATGCTAGGGGGATGTTCCAGGGCGGTTCATCTTAAGACGAACATTAGTGGCTTTGGTGATGTTCTTTATGTCTTCTATGAGAACTTCGATCGGCGTCCAATAGGAGAACATTGGCTTCAGGTCACTTCCAGAGACCACGCCACCGAAAAGCATGCCTACCACAACATGGTCTTCTGTGAGGACAAGGGCCCCGGAGTCACCCCCTTCCGAGAAGTGAATCCCATATTGCGGAAATATCGAATACTCGAAAGTATTTCGGGTAATCGGCTTTCCATCTTCGATCTCGTGCTCCAACTTTGCACTCTCAAGGCGATGATTTTTCCCTTTGCAATACCCCGAGCGTTGCCCGTGAATGAACAACGGCACATCGTCAAGCTTCGCGGGTTTTGGGGAGTCTTTCAGGTAGTACCCATCAGGAGTCTAAAAATAGGGATCTTGTTAGCCTTTGCTTCGCATAAATCCAAGAGGAAAAGGATGGCGAAGAGGCTAAAAGCCTTACCTTGTTTTCTCCCACACGATCATGCGGAACCTCAATGAGCGCCCAATCTAGGTTTGACGCCTTCCCGTTGGTTGAAGCTGTGGCCCTGAATCCCGAGGCCGCATATACAGGACCGAAGGATGCCCGTTTCGCTGCCTGGAATCTCTTGATATCTTGAAGGAAGCCCTTCAGATCTGACAGGGTCTTGCTCATGTTAAGGAAAATCTGATCCGTACGTCGGCCTAATTGACCCTGTAACCCTTCGGACACTAGTTTGCAGAGTTGGATATACTCCTTATCTCCTTCAAGTTCGCGGATCTCTTTCTCCAGGGATCTAACCTTTTCTTTGATGGCACTTGAGCTGGGGTGTTCGAGTTGAAGGCGTGTTCTCATATCATCATCTGGTGCAATTCCATTTTGGCGCCACAAGCGAACCCTCGTGAGGGGTTTAGGATCGAGACCCTTCTCGCTTGGATTGACGCAATGAAAACATGTCAGCCCCACAGTGATATAGTCTTGCCCAGGCATTTTGAGCTCCAGAAATCCACCAAGCGTGCCCGAATTATGGGCATCCTTCAGCGCTAGGCTTTGACCAAGGACGGATAGCATTTGCACAGCTCGGCGATCTAGCTCTCTTCCACTCAAGCTAGTCCCACCCCGGGCAAAGTATCCCTGGACAAACTCGACTGCCACACCCGACAGGTAGTTTTTGTCGAGGAGTTCCCGAATCCTGGCAATGGAGTTTTCGCGGTGACTTGGGGGTTTTTCAGAATTGCAAACAACCAGTACAGTGATCGTACTGTCCTTGGGGCCAGGACCCCTCCCTCGCCGAACGCACGTAACCACGCATACACCAGTGTGGTCCATCTTGCGCATAATTGTGCGCAAGATAACAGGCCACTTCCGGCATATTGGGTCACTTTGCAGTACGGTGAATGTATTAATACGGTAGGAGGGCTCCAGGGTCTTCGGTCGGTGGGTTAATGTTGAGGTTCGTGACGTGTGCTCAGATTGGCGTTTGTTCTTTGCCATCTGGAAAGATGGCATAGTAGCAGGTAGCAAAGAACAAAGACGGTTGGTGGGATCGAGTTGAAGGATAACTGGAAGTAACGGCCGCAAGGATAATTGAAAAGGCGAGTAAAAGGCTCAGTGAACAGGTGAGTAAAAGGACGATTGAAAAGACGAGTGAAAGACGACTCAAAAGACAAGTGAAAAGATGAGTGAAAAGACGACTGGAGTCGCAAGCAAAAGGGTCTCTCAAGTGATGTCTGAGTTGAATAGACCAAGAAAAGTGTGGGTCATCAGAGGTTCAAAACTTGGTGACAGCTCACCAGGAAAAGGCAAAAGAGTTCCACCTTGTGGAACTCCTAAGAAATAAAGTGCTTCTTTGCAATAGTAGAGGACGTTCGAAGTAGGCTGAGAGCCGAAAAGGGTTGAGAGTCGAAGAGCAGATTCTGTTTTGATATTATCATGAGCATCGAGTGCTCTGATCAAGATAGAGGGGTTTGTTTGGAGGATTAAAAAGACTATGCAGACTGGCGGGCAGGCCTTGTTTGATGGCTCGTCGGAGTTGCCAAATAGACGTAAATAGAACCAAGCTCCAGAGTTGTTATATTATTCACCTCGAGATTAATTCCTTCGTTCCTCAAGGGCAATATATTGCAGTTCTACTAGCGAAATCATACCTAAGGCCCTACAGAGTTGACCTCTTTGCACGTCTCCTTTGGGTGCATTATTCTAGCTCGCACTATAATTAGGTGCAATTCTTTGATTCTAGTTGACGACATAACCACTTCCCAGGTGTTAAACTCTTGTGACTACCCAATTCCCCACGATGTGTCAGAGGCCTAGAAAGGCATATACTAAGCTCGAAGTCCTCGCAGCCATAAAGGTTGACAGCAGATATATTCACAAGAAAGCGCTTCAAGGTTCGTAGATTATGCGTATCCCTGAAACTAAGCCATGCAAGAAAGGATATAAGGGTTTGAAAATTCAGTAACACCCTTAAACTCGATCAAGCAGAGGCTATATAAGCATATCAACATCACTTGAATTCATTATCACCCTTGACCTTGGTCAAACCAATCCAAGATCATAGTTCATCCGTCAAATATCCCCCATGAGCTGCCCGCACAATGTATAACATATAAATTCATGAAATTGTATAAACAGGATGGCAGTAGAACTTCCACAACAAGCCCCTAAAAGAGAAAGATATATTACACATTCATTCGGGTGTTCATAGAAATCCTTCACGAGTATTTTCTTTCTTCAAAAGAGACTTGAGAATCGAACCGTCTTCAGAAAGTTCTAATACCAATCTTATTTCCACTAACAATAACCTTTCCAGTTTCAGAGAGCTCAGTCAAAGTATGTCGGGATTTAGTCTTTTATTCTTCCAGTGGGCTTGTTGTAAAATCCAAATTGGCTCCAAATGAAGGCAGAAAAGCGCAGCTTTTGACGAATAAACTCTGTACAAAGTGACTTTATCTCAGAAGATGATATTTAATAGTCTTAAATAATATATAGGACGTCAAAAGTCCAAAATGCAAATGCATCAGGTAGGAAGAGACGTCCATACTTCGGACGTACTCGGCGCCGATCCTAAGATGAGTCATCAATGAGTCAGCACATCTTCGACTTCAACCAATTTGTCCCCTATGATGGGTGTCCAAATATCGACGCGAGGAAAGGCCAGGCGTTCATCTGGTCATCTAAATTCAGTAAAATCAGATCAACATCGGAGCAAGCGCTTACATCGAGCCCTGTTGAGCTGAATATCACTTTGTCAGCCTCCCGATAGGAGCCATCTTCAACCCGCCCTGCGACCGAATCCAAAATGGCACACGGTGCAGAGGACTGTGCAACTGTGCTGGAGCAGTTCGTCCACGATGTGGCGAATCTTCCAGCTGAGATCAACCACCTCATGGAGGAAATCCAGGCCAAGGACAAGGTCATGCAGGAGTGCCGCGCTACAATCAACTCTCGCGACAGCAGCATCCAGAAATTCATCAAACTGAACGGCAGTCTGACGCCCAACCCAAAGGAAGAGCCATACAGCAAGACTATCCTACAGAATATGGACAAATCCCACGAGCTGCAAAACGAGAAGATCCAGCTCAGCGAGAAGGCATGCGTCCTCCTTGATCGGCAGATCAAGCGACTCGACGTGCGCATTCGTGATCTAGTCAACGAAGGTCTCCTTACAAATGACCCGCCTCTCCCCTCCCTCTTCGACTCCAAAAACAAATATCGCAACCCACCCAAGATCTTTCTCCCTGACTCCACCCCTACCGACTCTCCCGCGTACTCAACACCCCTCAACCCGACTTCCGGCAACACGAATCCCATCCTAGCTGCTGCGCAGCGCTTGAACCAATCCACAACTCCTCGCGCGGCTGGTTCCGCAGCTCAACTTGGACAAACCACAGCACGTAGCTCCGCACCCGCTACTCCTGCAGCAGCAGCCGTCGTACATCTCCAGCAACGCCAACGCGAATCCTCCGCCGGAGCTGTGGACAGCAAGCGCCGCCGCTTGAACCCATCCCTCAACACACTCCCCGTAGCCTCTTCGAATCTGCGCCAGTCTTCCATGGGCCCTGGTACACCGAAGCCTGGCACACCGGCTGGCAGCCGTGCTGGCAGTGTCGGCCCCCGTGCTAGCATCGGTATCAAGAAGGCACTGACTAAGAAGGTCGCGCCGCACCAGCAAGTTAAGAAGCTCAAGACTGCGAGCGGAAAGCCGATTAAGCGCTCTTCCAGTGCCAGTGGTCGTATTAAGGCGTCAAAGAAATCTCCCAATGGAGAAGGCGATGAGGATGATGACTCTATGCTCAGCAGTGCTGATACATCGGACTCTGACAAGAGTGATGGTGCTGCTGATGAGGATGTCGAGGATGAGGATGAGGATGAGGGTAATGAGGATTCAAAGGTCTATTGTACCTGTCGCACTGTTAGCCATGGGGATATGGTAGCTTGCGATAATGACGAGTGTCCCTATGAGTGGTTCCACTGGAAGTGTGTTGGTCTGACGCGCGAGCCGGTTGGCACTTGGTACTGCGATGAGTGCAGACGTACTTTGGGCAAGTGATCCTCTATTCTCCTCTTTTTCTATGATCTGTATGACGGTTGATATACCCACGGCGTTTGAGGGACTTTTATGGTGTTGGGCTGGACTGGGCTGGACAAAAGATCTACTTCTTACTAGTTTTACTGCATAATTCGAATGTGTTTAAACGGAATCAATTTCATATTCTGCCTATTCTAGACAAAAACTGACACTAATCCCCGAGGGAAACCAGGAGGCGGAGATTCCTCCTAAGTATCCATTCCCAGCTACAGCCAAGCGTATGTCCAAGCCGTGCCCATCCAGCGCCCAATATTCCCAGGGTCACCAGTGAGCCGGAGCCTAACCAAATCAAGTCGAAAACGCCATCGCTATGCACATATCCCCTTTTTTTGTTTCTTCCATGCAAACATGTTGGCACACGGGCGCACACAGTACGCCGAAAGTCAGAAATCAGATATTCGTGGAAAAGCCATTGCTCGCAAATCCACTTAGAACCCAAGCCCATTGCTCAGCCACGGGTCGAAGTACTCGCAGGTCTCGGGGCTCACTGCGCCGCCTGGCGCGCAAAGTCGGAACACTGGGCACTGGCCGCAAGGGGCTTCGGTCATGCCGTTCTTCACAAGGTGCTTGTTTGCAACGGAGAGATCCTCGCCATCGACGGGCGGCTTGCGGGATTGGTTCGCTTTGACGGCTTCGGGGCTCTTCAGGGATCTGTACCACTCGCCGTTGCCTAATGCGACGAGCTTGTTGTCGTAGCAGAGCATTTCGAGGAGTTGCACAACACTCTCTTCGCCCAGGCGAACCGGTGTAATGCCACTTTCGTTGACGGCCAAGGTGATCTGCGCCACGGTCGGGTATCCTGCGTAGCCGTGGGGGTAGGGGAGGTAGGTTTTCTCATCGGACTTGACGTCTGCCTTGCCTGAGGCGGTCTTGATGCGCTTGTTTTTGCGGTCTGAGGCCGGGACTTCGTACCAACTCTTCCGGCTCACGGTGTACTCGATGTAGCCTGCAACGCTGTTGATGAAGTTGGCGTCCAGTACACCGTCTGTGAACCAGGCTCCTCCAGTTACTTCTTCGCTCGGAGCAAGCCCAGCCAACATGTACATCTTGCGGCTGGGGTATTTGACATTGTGGAGGGATTTGATGTAGTTTTTCCCTTCGAGGGCTTTCAGGCATCGGTCGAGAATCGACTTGTGCAGGTTCGTGCGATTTCCAATGTGCCGTACCCAGATACCAGTTCGTTCTGTGGAGTGGATGACATTGTAGACCATGGCCTCGTCCGGAGTGAGGTTGCGGAGCCTGAAAGGGAGGAGGGGTTAGTTATGTGATTTACCGACACAGAGATGCATGCAATTCCTACTTCTCGGCATCCTCGCGGTCAATGAGCTTCCACGTGAGCTTTCCGTCTTTTTGGAGGAGTCGAAAGAGATTTTGATTGACGAGGCTCTGGGTGCATTCTAATAGTAGCGCAACGTCGTTCTTCGGGATCACTTTGAGATTGAGGAAGTCGTTCTGATAGAACAGGTGATCGGGGTCAAATTCATTAACGCATGCATCGTAAAGCTTGGAGGCAAGCTCGGCCACTTGAGACCCCGCGGAGGCCATTGTTGGAGATGCGACGGAGATATCAGGCAAAATCAAGGTTCATTCGAAGAGGCTCGTGGTTTTTCATGTTCAAGGGAGCGTGCTAGAGCCAGGAAGTAAGTTAGAGGACCATGGTGCGTCGATGTCGGCAAATTTGAGTCACGAATGAATCACAAATGGTGTTTTTTTGGCGACTTTTTCTCGGCGGGGACTGGATTTGACCTAAAAGGGTTTAGCCCCGGCGGAGCTTCAATGTCAGCGTTCATGCCTGAGGTGTCTGTAGCCTGAGGCTTAAATTATTCCTGCCTGAGGCAGTAGATAGCAACGGAAATTTCGAGAAGCTCCGGGCGACTAAGCTCATGACCTCAGCACTTTCAGTTCCTTGTGCTTTTGT